GAGTTTCTTATCAATCATCCTCACGAGCACCATAGTCATCGTTGTCATCGGTGGAACCGCCGCTCGCGTCAAGTTTCAGTGTGCGGGCACTTCTTTTTCATCATCATCACCATCATCATCATCATCATCATCATCATCATCATCATCATCATCACCAGCACCAGCACCATCGCCGTCATAATAGTCAGCGTCATCGCTGCCACCTTCATTCTCATCACCGTCATCGTCATTACGATCACCATCGTCGTCATCAGTATCGCATCGCCCCCATCCTCACTGTCATCGCCATCGGAATCAGCGTCCGCACCACTGTCGTCTCCATCGTCATCTGAGTCGGGCCCGTTACCATCGCCACCACAATTTTGCTTCTTGCAGCGCGGACTCGTCTGCGCGGTTGATTTCCACGCGCCCGTGCGCATTCTGAGAAGATGGCCTACGTAATGAGGTCTGCCAACAGGTTGCGGTTGGGTGGGCGGGATGTCTGGGCTTCCCTTGAAGTCGTCTTTGGGGCTTACTGGGCCCATCTTGAGGAGTCGGGGCCGTCTTTGGGTGATCCTCGGCTGTCTTGGACGCTCCGCAGACAGAACGGTTTGAGATGCGAACCTCATGGCGACCTCCTTGAGCTTTTTAATTACATACGCCTCTTGGGCTGGCCCCTAAGTACTCCAAGACAGCCCAAGAAAGCAGTGAAGGAACTTGGAGACGGACCCTTGCGGCCATCATAAACCGGCGTGTAGGTCTGGATCCCCAGCAGCGCTTCCAGGACCTCGAAAACAGTCGCACACCAAGCCTTGGAAGCGCCTGGAAGCAACTGTGAGTCGGGGCCTGGTGGCCTTGAAGAGCATTGGCAGCATTCAAGCTTGAGGACTCTGAGGGACCTGATGACACTCCACTTAGTGCCTACGGCATGTGGCAGATTTCCAGGCCGTGAACGGAGGTAAGGAGAGCATTGCTCTGAATCTGAAGGACGAAAAAGACAAGGGCGTCTTGGAACGCTTGCTCGAGACGGCAGACATGCTCGTGGAGAATTTCCGGCCAGGTGTGCTTGGGAAGCTCGGCTTCTCCTGGGATAGTCTGCACAAGCGATATCCACGTCTCATTCTTGTGTCTATATCCGGCTATGGGCAGGACGGGCCCTGCTGGAAGAAGCCGGCGTACGACGCAGTCGTGCAAGGCGAGGGTGGGATCATGAGCATAACAGGCTATGAGCACACAGGCCCGACCCGCGTGGGAGTCTCGATTGGCGACACGGGGGCTGGCCTGTATGCCGCTATTGGAGCCCAGGCCGCTTTGTTCCACCGCGCCCAGACAGGGGACGCCACACGCGTCGACGTTAGTATGTTAGATTGCCAGGTCGCGCTCGAGAACATCGAGATGTCGTCGTATTTGGCGACTGGACGCGTGCCTGGGAAGAGGGGCTCGCAACACGCGAGCATCGCCCCTTTCCAAGCATTTGCCACGCAAGACGCCGACATAATGATCGCGGGCGGCAACGACGTGCTATTCAAGAAGATCGCGCAGACTTTGGGCCACCCAGAATGGGCAGAAGCAGCGAAGTTCAAGACAAACAGGGCGCGAATGGAAAATCTTGAGGCGCTCGTCTCCGAGATGACTGCTGCTTTAAAGATCCAGCCTGCCGAGCAGTGGCTGGCTGCATTGGAGAAGGCGGGCGTCCCTTCTGGGCCAATTAACTCCATGGACGCGGTCTCTCGGCACGAGCAGGTCTTGAGCCGGAACATGATCGCCACGATGGACCACCCCAGGATCCGCTTAAACGTCGGAGTGACCCTGCGCTGGCGTGACCTTAAGCGCGCGGCGTTTGGTGGGCGTTGGAGGGGCCAAACACAAGCACGCAGTGATGCTATTGTCGCACCGCGCGCGGCGACCGGCAAGCCGCACACCGAAGGTCACGCTTGCCCAGGGCCATCCCTGCGCCAAGCCGAAGGATGGGCCCCATCCGCGTGGCGGGCCTGCCGATTAAGTACACGGCCTTTCCCGACGCCGCGAAGCTGCCGCCGGCCCCGGCGCTCGACGAGCACAGAGACAAGGTCTTGGCAGAGCTTTTGCGGTAAAGCCTCGCTTGGGGCGGCGTGCGCGAGCCTTTTCTAGACGCGCGCCCGATCCGAGGAGGAGGGAGGACGAACCTCGCACTCTATCCTCCTCCTCCTCCTCCTCCTCCTCCTCCTCCTCCTCCTCCTCCTCCTGCTCCTTGGGAGGGGGACATGGAGCGGAGGTGGTTCAAATTAACCCGTCGTCCTTTGCTCCTCTTGCGGCGGTTTCACCATTGGGGCAAGGTTCGGCAAAAAGCTTACCAGCCCTGATGGTTCCAGCATGGAGATGTCTTCCGAGCTGCGCAAGCTAAGGAGATACTTAGTCCCTGGGACTCAGCTCCGTTATGAAAGAGCGGCCCCTCTGTAGTGGTCGGGGGACTATTGGATGAGTGGTCATGTGGGGGAGATGAAGAACCTTAGGACTCAATACACATTGCCTGCTTAAGTTGCAGCGCTGTTCGATTATTTAATCTTGCTGCAGTCGCATGGCGCGACGCACCATCTCTGTGCGTAAAGTAGTTCGTCTGCGCGGCCGGTCCATCCGTGCTCTGAGGCTGAACCTTGGCCTCGAGGCGGATAGGGTCAATATCAATAGATCTTTCCTTTTCCCTTCATCCTGCCCCCTTCTCGAGTGTGAACGCTGCTGTATCTCCTCCTCCTGCTCCTGCTCCTGCTCCTCCTCCTCCTCCTTCTCCCCCTCCTCCTCCTCCCCCTCCTCATTCTTCCTGGGGCCTCCTGGGCGCCTTTTGGGGCCTCCTCGCGGCCTCTCGGGGCGGACGGCTCGGATTATCGATTCGTGTTTCCTCTATTAGGCCCCTGTTGGGCCGTCTTGAGGCCTTCTTGGGCCGTCTTGGGCGCATCTTGGGCCGTCTTGGGGCGCACTGTGACTGTTTTGGGGCCCTTTTGGATGTCTCTTGGGCCGTTTTGGGAAGGTCTTGGGGCCTTTTGCAGCTTCGGAAACGCCAAATCCTATTTGAATCTAGGAGATTCAATGATGATTGCCTCTTGAGGCCCGAAGTCCTCTTGGAGGCTCCTTTGGGCGTCTCGGAAGTCTCTTGGGCCCTCTTGAGGCCATCTTGAGCGTCTTGGAGCGATCTTTCAGCGACTCGGGGCCCTCTTGGACCGTCTTTAGGCCCTCCTGGGCCCGACAAATTCTCGCGACAAGCCACGGGGGAGACCAGGGCAACCTCGGGGAGATTTGAGAATTTGGGATCCTGTCTCTTTAAGACTCCTCAGGACTGAGGATTGAGGCTCCAGGGATGAGACAAACAACTTGAGGAATCGCCCACTCCGAACCCAGAGGCACGGTGGCGAATTTTCGGCCTCTGGGGGCCCTCACCCGGCCTCGGGTCAGTAAAACAACGGTTCAGGATGGAAAATCGATCCGGAGGCATACGGCGAGACCTCTGGGGGTCGAAGCTATGGAAAAATCACGACGTCGCCGGTCTGGATCTTATGGACGCCCGAAATGGGTACGGAAAATTTTGCACGATACCCAAAGTCGACAGCGGCCGTTGTTAGGCTGGCGGCCTTCTGCCTTGAAGGGGCAACGTCCGCGACGATGCCGGCAGCCAGCCCTGATCAAACTGACAAGGCAATGCTGTCGGTCTTTGTGCCAATGCCTTCCGTACCCATTTCGATCGTCGTGACCTCTGTCTGCACTTCGTGGGCGGGGGCGGAGGGCACCGCGCGCACGGAGACGGCACGGCGGCTTGCAGCCCGCTGCGGGCCCTGCCCGCGCACGTGCGATTGCTCGCTGCCGCGTCGGGTCGGCCGCCTCGGCGTCTCCCGCAGGTGAAGCATTGCGGCGCCACCTGCTGCCGGGCGTGCGCCTGCCTCCCGGATTCGATCCGCATTCTATCCGCTCGGGCTTGCACGCCCCCCGCCCTTTTCGTTACAACCGAGGCGGGTACGAGAAAAATGGGCATGAAGACCGACAGCAACTCGAGTCCATGTTGAACAGTACTCGCTGCCGGCGACGCGACGGGCATTGTCCATTTGAGGCAAAGAGTCGCTTGCCCAACAGCAGCCGCAGTCGGTGTCGGACAAGATGTGTCGTTCGGCATCGTGCCTAATTTGTTCGTACTCCTTTCGTGCTTGTCAACCCTTGCATATACACCGTTTGTGGAACCGATCTTCCTGGACCTCGGGAGGTGGTGGGAATGGATACACCTGGAGCCCCCAGGGGATCCAAATGTATCCATATCCAACGCCCCCGAGGGTCCAGAATATCCTTTTCCCTGTCGGTGGATGTGAACAAATCCCCGCCCTACTTGCCACTGCCCTCTTCCTCCCACCTCCCCTGCTCAATCCATTTCTCTCATTGCCTGCCCCACCCCTGGCGCTCACAGCCCGTCGTTCCCTCCTCTACCCCACACCCCCCTGCCACCCCATCCTCCCTCCTCCACGAGCTTGGTCCCTCTCCTCCTTATCTATCTCCCTACATCCTCCTCGGCCATCATCTTCTCCTCATTCCTACTCCTGCTCCTCCCTCCTCCTCCTTCCTCCTCCTCCTGCTCCTCCTTCCTCTTCGCTCCCCCCCCCACGCCACGCAAAACCCTGCAAGTGAGTTTCGACTTGTGTGCAGCACCCTCGCCGTGAGGGAAGGGTAATAGGATGAGAACGAGGATGGGGTAAATGAGAAAGGAGGGCGGAAGGAGAGAGAGGATGGAGAACAGGAGGCGGGAGGGAGAGATGGATCAAGGAGAAGACGGAGGCAGGGTTGGAGAGGAGGAGGAGGAGGAGGAGGAGGAGGAGGAGGAGGAGGAGGAGGAGGAGGAGGAGGAGGAGGAGGAGGAGGAGCAGGAAGAGGGCGGATTTGAAAGGAGGGAGGGGTGAGGAGGGAGGGGGGGAGAGGAGGGAGTGAGGGAGCGCGAGAAGGAGTCAGGGAGGAGGAGGAGGAGGAGATGAAGGAGCCAGGCGCAGTGCCACTGATCCGAGTGCATCCGCAGCTCCGGCTCGAGCGCGGCCCGCGGCTGGTGCTTGGGCAGTCAGGGAGATTTGGGCCATTCCTCCTCCCCCCTCCTCGGACCAAAGAGCCTGGGGCGAGGAGTTGCACATCTTAGGCACCTCCAGAGCGATGCCGGGCCCGTCTCCTCCCCCCCCCGGCTCTTCCTCCTCCCGCCCAGTCTCGGCTCGAGCGTCATGAGTCTCTAGATCAGGCTGTCAATCGATTGTACGTCGAGGCTGGCTGACGCCAAGATATTCCGTAGTCGTCATAGGGATGTTTGCTTCCGTGTTCAGGCGGACTGAGGGCATAGAGTTTTTTGTCAGAACGACATGGAGATGCGAGCGTTGCCATAGTTTAGCAGGAGGCCTTTGCTCCACCAATCCGCGCGTGGCCGGCGGATCACCATGTAGTATACGCCAACGTCCTGTGCGGAAAGAGCCCGATCACCTGTGTGGATTGCGACCTTGCGCTGCGATTGGTCACGGACGACGTGAACAAGTTGCAACGTATTCGTGATGTTGACAAGGCTTTGGGTATAATTCGCTCCTCTGATGTGTTCCTGGACCGTCATATCCAGAAGCGCGGGGTCCAACAGAGCCAGGAAAAGATGCCAGTGGTTCCATACTTCGTGGGTCTTTGGGCCACGCGCTTTAGTCGAACTGTCGTCCAATATTGTTTTTGAGAGCAAGCTCTTACCCGGTGTGGTTATTCCTTTAGCTCCTTTTATCAGGGCGCGTTTCATTCCGAGCGGGTCCTGGGCTTCAGAGGTTGTTGTACGTTGTTCCGCGATGTCCAGGGGCTGGGCTCACATTAGGCGTTTCTGGTCCCAGTGTACTTCCTGGAGGTTTCAAAAGATGACACTTAGTGCGAGCCTGTCGGGCCTGCCATCGCTGGTCTTGGCAAAACCCTAAGAGGTGAGACTCGAGTCAGTTTGTCCGGAATGCCTCAACGTCCTACTTGGATGGGCGGCTCTGAAGATCCATGCAGTGGCAGAGGACGGGAAGGAGACTGCAGCGAGCGATTCCTGCGCCACCAGCGGAACTGATCTGGCGGAGAGCAAGCATCGTACCTTTTGTCGTTGGAACTTCTTGCGCAGAGATTAAAAGTATGGCAGAACATGCCCGTTGCCCAGGCCATTACGAGCAGCAGCTCATTGCCGTATTTGGAGAACTTGCGAAGGAGGCAGATGTTGTGTTATCAGTGTTTTGATTCCCTAGCTCTTTTATGTGCCCGCGTGGGTCCTCCATGGGCAACCCTTTGGCTCGACAGTCCTTCGAGGATGTGGAGTGCTTGACTATGCCAGAGAAGGGGAGGAATATGGTGGAGGTTGCGGGGGATAGCTATGTGAACGCGCTCGGGCGCAACACGCCGGATTTCAAGGCCGTTCAGAAGATAGGAATGCTACGGTTTCGGGCTAAGTTGCTTTTCAGATTGACATCGTCGGAGTCGGAGGCCATCGTTCCTGAACCCTGGGAGCTGGCTGAAGGGGATTGCAATTGTGCGCTACTCAATGCTGACAGGGGCCCGTGCGAGAGACGATTTCGGAACAGGCGTGCCGTTCTAGCTCATCGAAGACAGTCCTCATAAGGGCCAGCATGACATCCCATCGATGGCGACCAAGCTTGTCATGCCCTGCCTGTGTTTGTACCGTTCGATGTAGGGATACTGCGGCCCGACATTTGATCAAAGCTCGCCGATACGGAAGATGATATTCTGAGAATGAAATTCGATCCGGCTGATGTGGATCCTGGGTTTCGCACTCGTCCCGGAAGTTGTGAGCCATTTGTATATCTCGAGTTGTTGCAACGTCACATGCGCGGACATGTTCCTCTACCTTTGTGGTACCAGGGTTTGTTTGGCATGTTCTCTGTGGTTTCTGCAGCGGCTTCGTCTGCAGACGGGGCGGCGCCGCAGCCGGTGCGAGGCAAGCGCGGTGCGGTTTCGGCCGGATACTGTTTTCAGGCGAAGAAGACGGCCCAGCGGACCAACAACCGAACGGTGCCACGGGGGTTCGGTGAGTCAGAGCTCTTCGAGATCGGGCACCTTCGCATGATCGGAACCGTGCTCATGACGCTTGTGCTGAACCTCTCGACGATGACGCGCCATCAGGAGGCCATCACCACGATCTCGTTAATCGGGCCAGAGTCGGCAGCGCCAGTCGGTCAGGCCAAGCTTCGTGTGCGAGGCTGGGTCGAGGCAGCGCAAGACTTCCGCAGCCGCGGCGAGGACGGGGAGGTGGACAAGCTTGGCAGCATCAGCGTGGCGGCCCTCGTGGGCCTCATCAAGTGGTGCGAGTCTGCGAACGCGGCCGCAAGCGCTCGCAACCAAGCGAAGCTCACGGCTTGCATGGTGGAGCTGAACGGCACGTCTTTGGAGGAGGTAGATGCGGTATACCCTTTTCGTGGACGTGCAGTCGGCGGCTCACTAGGAGAATGACTGTACGATCCTGTTGTCGAAGAACGACTCGCTGAATGTGCTCGTCGATTGGTTTGGTACAACTGGGTTTCTCGAAGACGATCGGCGTCGCCCCTTTATGAGTCACCTCGAGCGCGTGCTTCAGACGTTCCTGGAGAACGCGACGATGGAGTGGATGATGATACTGAGTTGGATGCAGATAGGGACAGACATGATGTATGTGAGGTGGAGATTCAAACTTGGGAGGTTCATAATATCTCTACTGCTTTTGAGGAATTGTTTGATATGGTGGTGTCTGTGGACATACAGGTCCTTGGTACGATCCAGGCAATGCATGAGCAGCATCTGTTTTTGGGGTGTCGCTTCCTCTGCTGTTAATTTTGCGGCCTCATGTTCAATGACGAGTTTATGGACGACCCGCGAGAGAGCAAGAGCGATGGCGAGCAACACCTCCTGATCTCCCAAAAAATCTGCGAAGCAGACTGTCCCGCATGGTTCGTCGGCCTCAGGCGTTGTAAGTTCGAGGCGGGACCATGCTGCCACCGCCGCCTCGTGCCAGGCCAGGGGTATCCTTCCTCTTCCTTCGTCTTCGTTTGAGCCTGGTCCTTCCCTGACCCGTCCTCATGTCCCCAAACGAGCTCGGGCGGCGGGCCAGGCAGTCAGTGCTTTCAGAGACAGTGGGTTTTGCCATTCGGTAGCGGGCGCAGCGGCCTGATGGCCAGGTTTCCGCAATTAGTGTGTGCAGATGGTGTTTGGGTTATTGAAACCTTGTAAATCGTGGGCACTTTTCTGTTCAAGTGGACCTTGGCCCCGGTAGGAATCTGCTCTAATCCTCCTGTTCTAATCATCTTTCTTTGGCTTGTGGTTTTCGGGCCATCACTGGACTCCCTTCCCGCGATTTGGGACGATGCGGGCACCCCCCGAACGCCCTCGGCAAAACGCAGCCGCTGCAAGGCATCCCGAGGCTGGGCAGCCGCCGGACACCGACGAACATGCCCGAAGGTCACGAACCTCGAGCTTCGTCCCTTCCGTCCTCCCTTCTGCCCCCCCCCCACCGCGTAGCCATGCCGGGGCCCGTCGTTCTCTCCACCGGCGCTCCCGCGCCGCCCGCCTTCGCCGGCACCCCCGCCGCCGTAGCGGCAGGGGCTTCGCAGAGGTCGGCCACGCGTAAGACTGACCCTTCGCCAGAGTGACCCTAGGCACGGGCCCACAGGGGTCCCGCCAGCACTGGCGGTCGCGCTTGGATTGCGTCGAGTTGCCCTCCCCCGCACCCCCCCGAAACCGCGCACCATCGGTCACTCTTGCCTAGGGTCACCCCTGCGTGCGTCCGAGGAGGGCGGCGCCCCCAGACCCGTCGATGCAGGAGTGGCGGGGCTTCCCGGCGGGCGCGGCCGAGGATCGGGATTATCGACATGCGGGGGCGGCCACGGAGGGGGAGATGGCAACAGAGGGGACGTTCGCAGCATAGACAATTTCGTGCTGGACGCGTGCAGCAAGAGAGTCGCGGGCAGGGCCTGGGCTACAGTCCTGAGGTGCGCTTTTGTTGTCACAGAAGGGTTCCGACACACCTTTTCTATAGTACAAGGTGCAGGGCCAGTGTCGGTGGGTAGGTACATCATCCTTGTCACCATGTAGTCTCATGTGGTCCGATTGTTAGGTGAGGCCAGAGGTGGTCAAACGGCCTACAGGCAATTGCAAAGATCGCTCGCCAGGAATTCCCGTGGCCCGAGAGCCCCGGAAAATAAATGGGAGTGATGACGCTAAAGGGGCGTTGGTTGAGGATTGTTCCCCAGAGTCTTCAGACTCTGCAGGATTTCGTGCATAAGGGTTGCGGTGATATCCATCCATGGCCATGCCGCAATTGGCGTCCCGCTGTATTTCAGACCCTGGATATATTCTTCAAGGGTTCTTTAACCAATGCCCTCACCGTAATTGGGCGATACCCTGGCGGGGGCCATCATGTCTCCCAGATCTCTTGCCCCCCCTTCTTTTCAATACATCTCCTGGCCCTGTCCCCCCCCGCCTGGGAACCCAGACATCGAAGAAGAAACAGCAAATGCATAAAGACAAACTTTATAGGCTCCGCGCGGATTCCTTGGGTCCGCGCAGTGCGCCCCCCAGGCGGCGCCTCCGGCGCCGCCCCTGGCACGTCCCGCGCGCCAGGGAGGAGGGTTCCATCGCCGTTCCAGGAGATCCGCGCAGACCTCCGAAACTTGACGCTTTTATTATTTTCTCCTGATAGCCACTCCCGCGTCGTAGAAAAACAGTGACGGAAGGTTTCTGTCATTGTCAGCCTTGGGGGCCCCCGCCGGGCCCCGGAACTGTCAGAAAACGATTCAGGATGAGCAGCCGGCCTTGGGGAGAGGGTCGGGACTTCTGGGGACCGCGTATGGAAACAATGAGGACATCGAATGTCTGGGAATGGGTGCGGGAAGACCGTTGACGAAGACCGACAGCAGATGTTGTCCATTTTGATCGGGGCTCGCTGTCAGTGTCGCCACGGTGGTTACCCACCTGAGGCAGGAAGTAGCCTGTCCAACAGCAGTCGTTGTCGCTTCTGGGCAACATCTGCTGTTGGGCAGCATGACGGTCGGTGCCACCGGCCCTGAACGGGGACGAAGACGACGACGACGACGCCGACGCCGACAACGACGACGACGACGACGACGGCGGCGGCGGCGGGCATCGTGTTCATTTTTGTTTCGTGCCCATGCCGGGCGTGCCGGGAGGAGCCCGCGGCCGGGAGCGGTGCGGCGCGGCTGGCCGCCTGGGCGGCGCCCCTGTGCCTCAGCGGCGCGGAGCTGGCCCTCTGGCCCATGCAAGCGGGAGCGGGCTGGTTTCTGATGTTCGAATTTTGGGCGGCCTGTCCTCAGGAGGGGAGAAAGTGATTACTCAGCCCGTTGCTCGTCCTGGAGTTCTTTCGTCGCCACGGCTGGATTCTCCCCGAAATTCTGGTCAGAACGCACCCCGCAAAGCCAAGTCATGCCACACGCGTCCTGGTGGATCAGCCTGGCAATTGCGGGCCACTCCAGGGGTAGCTTGGTATCACTCGATCCCCGTAAAGAAGTGAGGGTGGTCAAAGATCGAGGTAAATAGATTCGAGTGCTTCTTGGCGAAGCAATTCATGGCATCAGTGATTTTGTGAATCCGCCCCGTGGGCGAGCGCTGCCGATGCTCAGCGCGAGTCCTTAATTCTTTTGTTCAGTTTGCCGCTGCACTGTAGTACGATGTCCTGCCCCTCGCGGGCTTACGATTCACGCTTCCTCCTCCTCCTCCTCCGATCCGATGTTGCGTACCGTTACTTCTTTGCGTAGTACCCGCACGAGGGAGGGCTCCAGTTGCAGGTTCGTCAGCTTCACCTGGGACTGGATCCTGCTGCACTTCTCGTTCACTCCGCCCTCCTTGCCCTTGCGCACCCTGGTGATCGGGATGCTGTCGTTCACCGTCTCCGCGTTGCCATTCGAGATGGTGTCCTGGTAGTAATTCTCCCAGTGGTCCCAGTGGTCGTGCTCCGCGTCTGGCTCCAGGGTGCGGTCCATGTAGTTCACCACCTCTGTCCGATCGCCGATGTGGTGGTTGCCCAGCTCGGCCTGCTCGCGCGCCAGCGTCTGGGTGGGGCGCGCGGTGATGTGGACTGCCTGCTGGTTGGGCGCCTCCGATGTTCCTCCTGGTCCTCCTTATTGAGCTGCTCCTCTTACGAGGCGTCTCGGCTGTCGGCTGCGGTCGGGGCTCGGTGGCCCTCCTGCCGTCGCCGCGGGCGCCCCTGCTGGGCGCTGGTCGGCGAGCGCCATTCCGTGCTCGCGGTCGGAGTAGCTGTCTAGGTAAATGAGTACATAGGTGGGAGTAGAACGTGCCCTTGTCTAAGAAGAGATGGCTGCAGAGAGGGCATTTCGTGCTCGGTTTTGTCGGCTGGCATTGATTTCGTGTTCTATCTGAATTGCAGCTTCCTGTAATCATACTCCTCGCCAGATGTTTCCAAGCGGTCCCTGGGCTAGTGAAACACTGGTAGCAATTGATGCACTCGTTGTTAGTCGTCAGCAGGGCGGCTAAATTGTGTACGTGATGTTTTCGAATGATATGACTGTGCAACGCCTTCTTGATGGCGAACAGGAATCCGCACTCCCCTAGACTATCCCTGAGAGAGCATTTCCACGGTTGGAGGTCCTGGAGGGCCAGATCTTCTCGGAGCTCATCGTTTGGGGCCTGTCCTGGTGGGGGTACTGCTACTGTCAGTTTAGCTGCTCTGACTTCTCGTACGTCTAATAGGTGTAGTTGTTCTCTGACCTCGAGCGTGAACATCTTACCTATCTTGACATCCTCCTCCCCGAAGATGGTTCTGAAGTTCTCCGATACTTGGCAGACTTTCGCCACGTCCTCCTCGATACGACGGGCCCAGGGGTTCGTATGCGTCGTCAGCCCGTTCGTGGTCTCGTCGGCATTCGTCTCGAATTCGAGGCGTCCGAACAGGGCGACGATGAGTTGGCGATGATTGTTCGGGAATCTCAAGATGTTTTTTGTCCAGCCGAGCCTTCGGACCAAGGCTTCCTCCGCTGGTGGCAGGATCTGCCAGTAGCGAAAAACCTCCAGCGTAGTCAAGCTGCGCACTGTGCCGTCCTCGTGGTGCGTGCTCGCCCTGCCTGCCATCGCCCTCCTCAGCAGTGCTCCCATTGCACTTTGAAGTATCTGGTACTCGTTGGGCGTCGGCAGGTAGCACTCGATGCATGAGAGTCCCGTGTTGATGACCCTGCATATGAGGACGGCGCGCTTCCACCTGTACGGGATCTCGCGCTTGGTCCAGAACTTGCCACACTCGTAGTAGCTCTTCTTCATGGCCTGGATGCGTTTCTGCAGTTCTGGGTAATATTGTTGTGTCGCTGTGACCTGTGGGCCCAGGTACCTCGCCGTCGCCGCCACCTTGCCAGGAAGTCTGCACGACTCCGAGGCCAGAGCTTCCCAGAGTATTTTGTTGTGCACCGACCTCCCCCACCCCCACCCCGAACCGAAGCGAAAGGGTAGGGGCAGAGGAGGCCAGGGCAGGGCAGTAGAGGAGCAAGCGAGAGGGCATTCGTAAATGCGGGTGCTACCCTGCCCTCGGACCCCTGCGTGGGGCAGGTCGGTGCAGGTAGGGCCCGAGCGTCTGAGCTGACGCCAGCGACCCCCTTTCGGCAAAGTGCTCTCAGCTAGGCCACCAGATTTTGTAATGCCACGCAAGCCCGAGGGAGCGTAGCACCGAACTGGCCCGAGAGCTCGATCGATCGATCCTCCTCCTCCTCCTTTGTCCTCTTCCTCGTTGCCTCGTTGCCTCCTCGGGACGGGGCCCCCAGAGGGAACCCCGCCATGATCCAGAGGTCCTCGCCACGGCTCACCCCGGCGCGATGGGGTATCCCATCACCAGGGGAGCGGGGCCCAGCTCACGCGCCCACCCCTCGCGGACGGCGGAGCCAGGCAAGAGAACGAAAACTACAGACCGCGAGTACCGGAGAGGGAGGACCTCTAGGTCGCCATCTCTCCCCAGAACTCGGCGGGAACGAGCGTCTCCGCCGCCACCTCCAGCAACCCCTCCGCCCAGCCCACCCCCCGAAAGGCAAGAGGCACCGAGACGGGCGACGAGCGGCCGAGAAAGCGGCGAGAAGAAGGGTCCTTGCCCTCCTTGAGGGCCCTGATGGAACGAAGACCCCACGCCGTGGGCGGCTGGCATGGCTCCCCGATCTTCAGGACCTGCTTAGCCCCGTGAGCTCCACATCGGGAGCACCAGGCCATTCCTCCCCGAAACCCACCCGCCCACCAGAGCTTATGAGACGGATGGGCGCGAGAGAGGGTGTCCGGGACGCCAGTGCAACGCCTGCTGATGAGCCTAGCTCGGGAGGCCGTCTCACGGCCGCACTGCAGACAGCACCAACGCCCATTCCGAAGCAGCTTGACATGGTGACCCCTCGGATCAGAAACTAAATCGCAAGGGTCCAGCACCCGTCGGATGCGGGGCCTCTCAACATCAGGAAACCCTGAGAGTTGCAGATGGTGGAGGACACGGCCCGTATAGTAGGCCACGTGTCGGGCCGCCCACCAAGCAAGACCCCGCCGATGCTCTAACTCGGCGTCCTGGGGGTGGAGGGCGGCTCCTTGCTTAGCGAATTGATCAGCAAGATGATTGGACCTATAATGAAGCCACGGGACTCCCCTAGCCTGAGCTTCCGCCCACGACTTGTGGGCAGGGGTCCACACAACATCCACGAGATCAAGCCCTACATCATCAAGTTTAAACCAAATCGCTTCCCAGACTTCTGAGTACAAACGAGTGGGCGCGCAGCAGCCGGCCCTCCCAAGCGCCAGGCCATCCAAGATAGCACGGCAATCGGTGACCACCGTGAGAGGAGCCTGACAATGACAGAGACACTGATAGAACGCCCAGAGCTCGGCGAGGCCAATCTCCTGAAGAGGAAGGGGGAGGGCCCCATAGATAGCTCCCTGGGACTGGCCGTGACGGTCGACCGAGGCGCAGGCCCACCCTCCACGGCTCCCAAAGTTAAAGTCAGGAAACAAAACGGACCCATCAATACCGACGATCCCCGACAAGGCCCCACCTGTGAGAGCCCCATCGCGGTGAGTACGGCCAGACTGATCCAGAGGAGGAAGGTGTCGAATTTCTGCGTCGGCCAGGCATCGGAAGAGGAGAGGATCATCCACGTCGCACTCCGCTCCGGCCTGCGTCACCTGATCCAAATCGAGCGTCTGTCTGACACACGCAGAAAAATCGCAGCGAAACAATCTGTGGGGCGTGTCTCCCGCCTCCTGCTGACACACTCTGCAAACGGGGGACTGAACGGACCTCGCATGAAAGAAGCGAAACTGGGTCCAACAGCCGCCAGCCACATGCGTGGCCAAAAGCTGAGCTCCACTCTTAAAACCCTCTTTCCTGAGCTGGGCCTGGGCGTCCCGAATGGGGGCCAGGAGGGGGCCCCCAGCGAGATGCTCGAGCCCTGGCGTCCCTGGGAGGCACTCCAGGAGAGACGCTTCAGCACCTAAATCCACAAGCTTCCGCAGCGTGCCCGGGTAGACCTTCTGAAGATCAATCTCCACACCCCCAGCAGTGCTCCACGCATCCCACCTCTCAGCGGTCCATCCTAGGCGAGACAACGTGGCCAACACGGCCGAGCACGGTCCCAAGACCCTGCCAGAGAACGACTCCCTGACCTTGGCAAACAAACTGGCGAGGAACTCCGGAGCGATCCAACGCTCGACGACCGCACGCCCCCAGAAGCACAACGGCAAGGCATTGGCAGGGAAGACGGGGTCAGTCTGAGTCGAGGCGCTGAGCATAAACTGCAGGGTGCGCGAACGGCCTGCCGCAGGCCCAAAAACAGCAGCGGCGGCAGCGGCACGGAAACTCTGCAGCATCGTGGTCGAAATGCCCGTGACCCTGACTCCATACAGGGCTGCGGGATTGCCGCCACACTTGAAAACCTTGCTGAGCCCCTTGCGCGAGGAACTCAGGAGTCGATATCGACGAACCCGACGAACTCCAGCAATCCTTGAACGCTGTTGAACCCTCCTGGGCCTCGAACAACTGAAGTCCACCCCGAGATTCCGAACCCCAGACTGGGCCGAAAACTGCCAGGATCCCAACCTTTGGACCAAGATTTTTGAAAGCTGGGTGTGGGAGGAGGTGAGCTGACATTTCTTGCGTGAAACTTTCAGCCCGATCTCCTCGAGTGAGTCGCAGAGCATGTTAGTAGCGCAAGAGAGAGTATCTGCCACCGACCTGATGCGACCCGTGCATGACAGAGTGCAATCGTCCACGACAAGGTACCCTGCGACTGGACGGCATACCGTAATCACCTGGTCCATGATCGGCAGCAAAAGCATCCGAAGCAGTGAAGTGGCAAAGGCGCAACCGGCGATGATCCCCTGCGAGACCCGGAAGGGAGCGTCCGAAACGTAAATTCCCACTTGTAGCACACGCGGCCCCGAATACATGATAATCACGAGAGCGATGCGCCTGAGGTTGAACTTGAGCTCCTGTGGGCTCTTCGCTCATTCGCCCCCTCCCCCTCCTCCTTCTCCTTCCGCGTCCCAAATCTGTTGCTCCCCTCACAAGGTCCCCCCGCTGCCCCCGCACCTCCAGCCCCCGGAGAGCCGCGGCCTGCCGCCGGCGCCCCAGCGGCCGCTGCCGCAGCCGGGCGGCGGAGATCCTCAGTTCAACGTGGCCAAGTGCGCGGAGGAGTTCGGGGCCTCCCCGAAATTCGAAGCTCGTGACCTCCCAGATGGGGTCGGAGTAGATGGGGTCGGAGGATCGCGCCGCATGGCCGGTGCAACGGCGATGCGGAACTATGTGGAGCCAAATTCTCTCCTGCCGACGACGCCGATGCATCGCAAAGGTCGCCGATGCATCGACGATTCCTCGGCGATGCGCCGGCGATGTATCGGCGATGTATCGGCGATGCGGCCGGATCTTCCGACCCCGTCTACTCGGACCCCATGTAGGAGGCTTCTGGCAGCTTCGCGCCCCCCCCTGAGGCTATCTCGGCGGCAAGCGAGGGGGGGGAAGTGAGCAGGACAAGGCCTTCTCAGGAGGCGGCGTGGTTTTTCAGAAACCCTCGCGCGTCCTCGAGGATGGTTCAGAGAAAGTTTCTCAGAAGGCCGGGAGAGCCTCCCGAGCGTTCTGAGAAGGCCTATTCCTTCTCACTTTCCCCTTCGCTCGCTGCCGAATTTGGTTTTTGGGACAGAAGTCGAGTCTCCGGCGGGCGTGCGGGACGATCGGGGGCACCCCCGGAACGCCCGCGGCGGATGCGCAGCTGCTGGCACGCATCCCGAGGCTGGAAAACCGCTGAGGACCGACGAAAAAAACGCACAAACGACTCGAACCCCGAACCCGAAACTTTTCCCCCCGGGCTCGCCGCCGACGATCCCCCTCCAGCGGTACCACTGAGGGTCCTCAGGCCTCGCGCGTCGCACCCCGCCAGTGCGGTGACGGCGCGGTGGTCTTCGCGCCTCTTGACGCTGCCGCCCTGCAGGGGGAGCGCCTCCGCGCCCCAGGCCGCGGGGCGCGGAGCGCGGTGTCCTTCGCACTCTTCGTCGTCGTCGTCGTCGTCCTCAGGAGTCGTCCTCCTCCTCCTAGTCCTCCTCCTCCTCCTCATCCTCATCCTCATCCTCCTCATCCTCATCCTCATCCTCCTCCTCCTCCTCCTCCTCCTCGTCTACCGCCTCCTCCTCCTCCTCCTCCTCCTCCTCCTCTCCCTCGTCCTCCTCCTCCTCCTCCTTATCGTCCTTCCTCCTCCTTACATCCTCTTCCTTTTCCTCGTCATCCTCCTATCCTCCTTTGTTATGTTTCCTTTCCTTTCCTTTCCTTTCCTTTCCTCCTCCGCGTCCTCCTCCTCTTCCTGCGGTGTCTGGTTGTGGCCTCCTCCGTGCTATTTCGTGCCCGTATACGACCGAGGTCCTTGATGCGTTGCTCCTCCGGAACCAAGTGACTGAAGTCTGTGGTGACCTGCGCGGCCTACCTTCTCTCCTGTCTGCAGATGACGTCTCTGGCGACCTGCTCCGAGAGAATGCGGTTGAGGCCTCGGGCGACCTTCTCTGCAAAGACGGCTATTCTTTCAGCGATATGGACTCTCGTGGTGCGCGCCCTGCTCTTTCCCCTGCCAAGCGCTTTCTTGCCCTTCGTCGCGAGCTGATCCACCGCGGATAGACTGGTGCGTCGACTACGTCTTCGGGCTGCTGTTCTACTCCCCCTTTGCGGACCATTTCTCCCGCATCATTGCTCGCAGGGGTGGCTGCCAATAGCGCTTTCGTTTCTACGAAGCGGAAGACATTTGCATGTCAGTTTGGTATAGATGCGCTATCTCTCGTGAGCGCCTCCGTCGGAAGCTTTTGGGTGCGGTCCTCGACCCCTCGGATGAGGTCTTGCGCTTGATGATTAAGCTGTCCACGCAGCACTAGAACATACTCACCTGGCACCCTGACCCGTCCCGCATGCCTATTGACCTTTGTATCCGCTGTCTATTTTGGGATCAGCGTGGCAGCACTGAGCGGCATGGCCGTGAGCTGAGTATGACTCCAACACCGTGCGCGCACATAGCTGGCCTTGTCGCTGCCCGTAGCTTTTCTATTGACGACCTCGACCTGGACCCGATGGATCCATCTTCCAAAAATATCCCGAGCCCCTCTCAGAGGAAGACGAACTACTCTCCCAACGAGACCGAGCCAAACACTCAGCACGGTTCTGGAGCGGACTCCTACCCGTCCCCCGCAGATGCTGATTTAGAAGTGATGGACGAAGTCCAGGTGGGGCGCTCGTGGTCGCCGCCTCCACCAGCCTTCCTCAAGGACGACGTGATGTCTGATGGCGAGTTCGGAAGACATCTTTGGCCCCCACCCAAAGCCGTCTGTAGCGTGCAGGGACGCCCTCCAGCCTCCTGCAGTGCCAGGCCGTCCTGGCCGGCTGCGAGCTCATCAAGCCCTCCACCTCCAGGAGCTGATGTGGACGTTTTTGCTTGGATTGGCTCTTCAATCTCGTCGGCGCATGCTTTGGTTCCTGCTGCCGTGCCTGTTGCCACGTCCCCGACGTGTCAGGACACCCTGGGCTGCATGGCCACATCGTCGAAAGTGAGGACAGCGAGCTGGAGGTCGAGTCCGTGGAGGTGGAGGGCACCGCTGCGCCGCATGACATGACCATGCCGCCGCTCCCCGCCGCCCGTGGCTGATCCTTCTTCGTCTGTGCCGCCGTCGGCTGCTCACCTCAATGGTGCTCCCCCTCCTGCTGAAGATTAAGGGCCCCCTGGATTTCATTCTCCAGCTGCACGCGGTGCTGGTACACCTCCTGTTTTTTAGCCCAATGCTGCCCATGATGTGCGAGTGCCCCCTGTCCATAAGCTTCTAGCCGAAGATGATCGCGGCGAGTTGGGTGCTCTCGCTGCTGGCGCTGAGTCTGGCGGTGCGTATTCGGCCTGTGGCTTCAACATGGTGGGTTTCTGCATATGGCCTGCGACTCAGAGGATGGCGGGTCTGCGCCGCGGCCGCTGGTCGGCATCCCCTCGGGCGCGCACACTGCCGCCGAGGACCCCGACGACGTCGACCCCAACTTCGTGCACCTGACGGTCGACGTCGACATGGCTCCTGCTGGGGCTCACATCGATGGTGCATATGACCCTGCCCTAGTCGCCCTGGCGGCCTTGAAGGGCGCCTTCCCCGACCACACTCCCTTCGACCCCGTGTCGCAGGAGGCCTTCGGCGACACGTCCGCGGACCTCGTCACCCTCTCCGACGCCGACGGCGTCGCCACCTCCGCCGCCGACCGCGACGCCGTGCCCCTGAGTGTCTCAGAGGGCGCTCAGCCGAGCGCGTAGCGGGCGAGAGGAGGACTCTTGCCCCCAGGGACGCTCGCTCCTCCTCCTCCTCCTCCTCCTCCTCCTCCTCCTCCTCCTACTCCTACTCCTACTCGTCCTCCTCGGAGGCAGAGGAGGGCAAGTCGAGAGAGTGGCGGCCCCCTGGCCTTGAAAGATTCAAGGCGCGATCCTCCCCCCGCGCCCTTTTTCTTTCAAGGCCCATTCGGGAAATACTGCACGCGGACGCGTGCGGTTAGACGACGGCCAGTCGCCCCTCAATCTCACGCTGCGGAGCAGCCATGCCGTTGTGATCTGCAGTGCTTGACGGGTCGGCCGGTGGAGTTGATTATTTTGGTTGCGTTCTGCGGAGGAAAAAGCAGCCCCCCGCACCCGTGCCTTTTTCCCGTCGTCCTCGTCTGTCATTCCTCGTTCGTCTCTCGTGCCGTGCCGCCAGGCTGCTGCGTCGGTGCGGTCAAACAAGATATGGATGAGCTAGGGGAGCAGAGGGCCGGGCACAACGAAGAGCCACAACCACAGTCGAGTTGATTTTTCGGGAGGGCCTCGGGGAAGAGCTCACCGACCTCGACAGGAGCGCTCTGGTTGCGTCTGTGGTCCGTGCGGCCGTCCTGGGACGCCACATCGGCCACTACCAGCACCAAGTTGACTTCGGTGTTCTGGCGATTGTCAGCGCGCGCAGGACATCCCGCAGGATGTGTCCTTGATGTGGTTGTGGTCGCTTGCTCTCCTGGGGGAACGGAAAGCTCAGGGAACAGAAAGCGGTGATTATACAGAAAGCTAGGCCTTTTAGATGAGGTCCGAGCAGATGGTGTCGGAGGATCGCGCCGCATCGCCGATGCATCGGCGATGTGTTTCGGTGTGGAGCCCGAATTTCTCCGCATTGGCGTCGCCGAAGCTCGGCCGACGTCGCCGATGCGTCGGCGATGCATCCGCGATGCAGCGCGATCCTCCGACCCCATTTGTTCAGTCCCCATCTAGGAGGCCCCGAGGAGCTCGGGGAACAGAAAGCGGCATGCAGTCAGTTCGATGTCCGTTCACCGTAGCCGTGGGCGCGACATTGCAGTCAGGTGTTCCTGCATGTGGACCGCACTTGGGCATCAGTTGGCCCTGCCTTCTGGTCCTCTGAGCCCTTCCTGCTCCTCTTCTTCTCCCCGTTCTTCTCGTCTCCCTTGTGAAGGCGCGAATCTGGTCCAAGTCTTGTCCCAAATGTGTTCCAAATCTGGTCCAAAACAAGCCCGACTCGGACAGCGAAGGGGGCATCATAGGCTCCAACGGAACGGACACCAAGGGAGCAGACAGAGGCATGTAGTCAGGTCTTTGATGTGTAGTCCACTTTGTTTTCGAAAGGGGCTCGATGCCCCTTCGGTTCTTTCGCGGGCCTTCATTCGGCATTCTTCGTGCGTCCAGGCAAGGGGCTCATCAGTGGCTTCCTCCCTCCCCGAAGATGCCTCACGACCGAATTTTGGCTGTAATCGTTCGGGGGTCCGCGCGGATTTCTTGTGTTGGTCCTGGACCCATCAGTTGGCGTCGCCTCTGGCGCCGCCCCTGTCGCGCGATGCGCGTGCAGGCGGGGCGGGGGCGAAGCCCAACGCCGACCCAAGAACTCCTCGCAGACCTTTCAACACTTGTGTTGATGCCGTCTCCCGCTCTTTCTGTCTATGCTTGGCGGCGCGCCGAGGGGGGAAGTGGGGGGGGGGCAAGCCTTCTCAGAGAAGGGCAGGGCCTCTAAGAAGCCCTCTGTGGACGTGCCCTTCTGGGCCATCCGAGAAGGCCCGCTTCCCCTCCAGGCAGCCGATGCTTAGATTTGTTTTAGCACGGGGTTCCCGGAAGTCTAGACCCTTCTTCATCCTGAGTCAGTGTCGGAGAGTTCCGGGGGGCCCAGCGAGGGCCCTCACTGGCCGAAAGCGGCAAACAACATTCCAACCGTGCTCTTTCACGACGCGTGAGGGTCTGAGATTCCTGCGTGCTCCCGAGGAGCGCTCCTGCGACAACCCCGCCTGCGTATTCTGGCACTCGGTGGCCGAGCGGCGCTGCCAGCAGTTCGCCTGCGGCAGCTGCGCCGCTGTGTCGCGCGGGCGCTGCATCGGCGGCCTGCACGTCCGGCCAGAGGACATCCGCGAGGTGTGCGGGCACGGTGTATATCCGTGTCCACTGCGTCTTGGACTTCACGGGGAAGGGGCGCCCAAGAGGCTCAGGCGAGGCGCAGTGGATGCGGATGACAGTCTAGCCTCTAGGGGTCATGTTTTGTTCCGTGTCCACAGCGCTTCTGGTTTCTCTGGATGGGAGCCCACACTCAGAGACGCAGTGCAGATCTGGATGCGCATCTTGCACGCCAGGTGCTCACAGTGGACCTGGAGGACACGGCGGCTGGAGACGAAAGTTGGCCGTGAAATCAGGCCCCAGGAGGCCAGGACAAAGAGTAACCCCAGGACGCTGGCAAGTGGGGGAAACGGGACCCCCTCCTGCAAGGTCAGGTTAGGTCTTCCAGTGTATTTCCCAACCATCCTGTGGTGTTGGGTCTTCGTTTTGAAGAGACAGCGCCCCGCGTCACCTCCTCCCGCCCTCCTCCTCCTGCTCCTCCTCCCCCTCCTCCCCCTCCTCCTCCTCCTCCTCCTCCTCCTCCTCCCCCTCCTCCTCCCCCTCCTCCTCCTCCTCCTCCTCCTTCTCCTCCTCCTCCTCCTCCTCCTCCTCCTCCTCCTCCTCTTCCTCCCTCCTTCGCTCTCTCTGAGTTCCTTTCCCTGACCGCTTGGCCCTCCTCTCCCTAACCCGCCTCTCTTGCTGCCACTGCCCTGGCGTGTGCCTGGCGCACGGCAGCTATCACACTCGCGGCCGTTTGGCCAGAACTCTGGACCCGTCTGCAGGAGGCTGTTGACACCCAGGCTGTTTACACCCAGGCGTGCGAGACACTTGTGGCCTCGACCTCCAGCGGTCGCACACGAAAGGCGGGCGCCGACCCGCTTCTTCCGACCGACTGGGCGAGTCGCCAGGGCGGTTTTCTTCGGTGCTGGGCCCGACGGGGCCGCCTGTGGAATCGCCCCTGCCCGCGCTCCCGACGGCTTCCAGGGGAGCAACTCTTGCGTCATGATTTTCCGATTGTTGTTCCTTGACTAGCAGAAAGAATTTATAGCACCGGGAAAGTACAGAAATTTTAGGGTTTTCTCGTGTCGGGCCCCGGGAGGCGATTGTCGTTCGACACTTCCTCAGCCTGTCGGGCAGACACTGTTTCGATCCCGTTCTGGGTGTTCGAATTTGTTTCTGGGATGTTGTCCTTAAGTACGACGGGAGCAAGATAACTCTTGCTGGGGGGGAAGGGGCGGCTGCGCTTAGGCATTTCGGAATGCATGGAGGGGACGAGAAATCGGGGAGGCAGGCATCTGCTTGGTGTCGCTTGGGCGTGTGCATTGTTTCTCGGCGAGGACCATCGAGGAGCATCGTGGATCATCTTGCGAAACAGAGCACGCACGGCATCGAACAATGACAAAATCATGACGTCGGGGGTCATGGCTTTTGGATCCCAGTTTTCCGGAACGGGCCATGTGCTTTTGTTGTCGGCCGTTGCGCCATGGGGGCGCGCGAAAAAAAGGGGAGGTGACGACAGGTGTTCGGTGGCCACATGCGAACCTTACCCCACCAACCCACGATTTCTAAAGGGGGGAGGTGGGGTCCGCTTCGTTCGGGAGGTCGTGAATTACTCGTGACTCGAGGGGGCCTGTATTTTCGCCACCCATGGAGCAACGCCCAGTGCTCCTTTGCAGGTGGGCGTCCAGGACGAGCTGCGCCGGCTGGAGGCGGCCTCGCCCGACGAGCGCGCCAGGCACCTCGCTGGCACGCCCCCGAGGAAGTTTCGGGTGGCCGCCCGGGAGATGCTCCCGGTTGGAGGCTTCCGCGGAGGCCTCCAGAGGGCCCAGGAGGTTTAGAGAGGTCGGAAGGCGCCGGGTCTCTCTATACGAAGAAGGAAAAAAGGCGCCGGAACCGCGACCCTTTCCTCGTTTTCTTCTTTTTGGGTTTCTTTGGCTGTCCTCGTCGCCATGGCTGGATTCGCTTCGAAATTCTAGTCAGAACGGACCCGTGGGCCTGGTAAATATTTCTCCTTCCTGGGGCGTGTTTTTGGGATACTAATCGTCGCCCCGTGCGGTGGAATCTGACTGGGGCGGGGAGGGTGTGGTACACAAACGTATTTTGCGGATTCTCGAGTCCTCGAATGTTGGACCCTGGAACCTCGATCCTGGACCCCCGATCCAACACCGCAGACCAGAGGCCTGCCGGAGGCCGGGCGCAGAACACGCAGCAGTCTCGAACCTCCAGTCCTCGAGTACTCGATTCTCCATCGCGGTAATTCCATTCGGCCGCGATGGAGGCCGCCGCTGCGTCCGCGGTGGTGGCCGCCGCCACACGGCATCTGCAGCGCGGAGGGTGCGGGGGAAGGTCGAAGGCCGATCGGTCGGTCGTCTTTTTGGTGCGAGCCTCTAGGACCCAGTTAGATCCGATCGATCCGATTCGATATCGATTTCGCCAACCCCGTACGATTCGATTCCGATGTTCCGGCGATCCGATGCGGCCCGATCCCTGCGGGCCATTGTCGTGTATCCTGTCGCGGCCGATCTGGTCCGATTTCGACCCCCTTGCCGATTCGGCCCGATCCGACGCACGTTCCGATCCGACCAGATTCCCCGATTCACTTACAGATCTCGGACGGGGCCAGGACGAGGACAACTCCGTCCCACAGCGTCCTGGCACGCTCTCAGAGCGCCCCAGAGCGCTCCGAGAAGGCCGCGGCGCCCGAGGCATCCTCCAGAGCAGCCGGATCTCAGAGATTCTCGACGTATCCCCACCAGATTCTGTATTCGTCTTGGCTTCGTCGTAAGAGTCGCGTGTCCTTCACGGAGCGTCGGGGAGAGCTGGGGTCGCGTCAGGGGCCTTGGCTCGGGGCGCGGGGGGGCTCAGCGGCGGGCCGTCGTCCGCGGGGTCGTGGGGTGGTCCTAATCCTCGTCGTCCTTGTCCTCGTCGTCGTCGTCCTCGGCCTCGTCCTGGCTTCGTCTTATGATCCTGCAGTCCTCGAGCCACGACCCCTCTGGTACTGGCCCGAGGTGCGTGCGGCTGGTTCCGCTCCTTGAGCACGTTTGTCCCTCCAGTGTTACAAACAGGTTTCAAGCAACGTTTTGGGGAGCTGGCCCAAGTTTCTTACACTATCGTTTCCTTGATCAGACTGTCTGCTGTACCGCTCCTGCAGTCCTTGGCCCTCCCCCGAGGTACGTGCGCCTGGTCCTCTACGGCTTTGCCGGCCTCCGCATGGGCCTCCTGCGGAAGCTGCTCGAGCAGCTGCCCCTGCTGCACGAGCTCGCGCTGCCGGACCGGGCTAGGGAGCCGAGCCCCGCCGGAAAGGGGGGCGATCTCCCTGGAGATCCGAGGGTGTGATTGTTTCCATCCGGCGTTCTTTCCAGGGCTTCGGCCTCCAGGGCCCGTTATCGGGGCCTAGGGGCCATCAGAAATGGATCCGGGCGAAGATCCACCGCTGGGGAAGGGGTCGGGACCTTTGGGGCCGCGGATTGAGACAATTATATCGGTGGATGTCTGGGTCGGTTGGGCTCGATGTGCACACCACGTCGTTTGGCCGGTCAAGGAGCCAAGAAGTTCGTCTATAGACGCTTCAGAACCCCACAGGTTGGGCAGCTGGGGCGCCCACACATCGAGCTGAGAAGGGCGAGGATGGCGGATTGTGGGTCGAGTGGGATGGGCGAGGAGGGAGGAGGGATCATGAGAGGGAGGAGGAGAGAGGATGGGAAGGACGAGGAGGATGGCCGTCGCTTCGTCGTCGTCGTCGTCCTCATCCTTCTCCTCCCCCTTCGCTTCCTCGTTGCCCTAAAATGATCCTGCCCATCTGCATCCTCCGTCTCCTGTCGAGAAGGAAAGGACGAGGAGGGAGGAGGAGGACAAGGGGACCAGACAAGCAGGAGGCGCGGAACGGAGACGAGGAGGGGAACTCAGAGGAGGACGAAGAGGATGAGGGTTGCCGAGGATGGACTGGGAGAAGGAAGAGGAATATGATGATGATGATGCTGCTGATGATGATGATGATTATTATTATGATAATCGGTGGTGATGATGATGATGATGATGATGATGATGATGATGATGATGATGATTCTGATTCTGATTATGATTCTGATTTTGATGATGATGATGGTGATGATGATGATGATGATGATGATGACGACGATGACGATGACGATGACGATGACGATGACGATGACGATGATGATGATGATGATGATGATGATGATGATGATGATGATGATGATGAGGAGGAGGAGGAGGAGGAGGAGGAGGAGGAGGAGGAGGAGGAGGAGTAGGAGGATAATGATTGAGGAGGACGACGACGACGAGGCGGCGGGGCAGCAATCTGACAGGGCACGACGGTGTGCGATTTTTCGGGTCGCGAGTGCGGTGCACGGTATGTGGAGGTTTGGCGACGAGGAGAGAGCTTCAGAGACTCTTCAGCACTTCAGCACACCGGCACACTTCAGGACTTCTCTTTGATGTGATGCTGGCGTCCGCAGGTCCGCAGGGGCTTTACGATACGGTCGCAGGCTGCACCCCGCCCAGTGCTTGGGAATTCGGATGTGCGGTCTTGGCGCACAGAAGGCGACTCTGACTAGCTCTTGAAACCTGCGAGGGGCGTCATACGGCGCATGACAAGAATTCGTGTTCGCCAGTTGCATGAACAAGATACGACGACGAAAAAATATATTTCAGTTAATTGGGTCATTGCCACGGGCTGGACAAATACAAAAAAGCCAGCCAGCTGGGGGTACGGGACCGTCAGAGATCGATCCAGGGGGGAGGCCAGCCAGGATGAACGGGGCAGCGGCAGAAGGAGGTGGGGAGAGAGGAGAGGTGGCCGCAGGAGCCGAGCCTCCTGGTGTTCCTCTGCGACCTGGTGGAGGGCCTGGGCACGACCACCCCCAGGCCGCCGGGCCAGGGGTCGTTCGGCGGGCCGGGGAGGGCCATCGTACCCCTTCTGCTTGGCTGCTTTCCCCCCCTTCCCCCTCCACAATTGCACCATCTGAATGCTACTCTACCTGGTGGCGTCTAGGGATTGTTCGGCCCCACTCCGCGTTCTGGTTTTTTTACACAAAGGATTCCCGGGAGTTGGGTTCTCGCTGGCGTTTCCCCCCCCCCCCCCCCCCGAAATGCTGCTCTCGCTCAAGCGCTGGCCTCATTTTCGGGCTGCTGCTCGTTCCGAATCGTGCTCCGGCTGCAGCGCTGGCCTCATTTCCGCACGTCCGCTGGTTCCGAATCGTGCTCCCGCTGCAACTCTGGCGTCATTCTTTCCAGCGCCATGCCACGGCATGTCTTTCGGTCCTTCCAAACGGCTCCAAAATTTAGAGAATGGCCTCCCCAAAAACCTATCGGAAGTGATTCTATACACATTCGGTGTCGATTCGTTGATTTTGTTGGGCCGCAGCCACGCCATGCCATGTCAGGCTACTCATCCTCATTTCCGCGCGTCCGCGCTGGGGTTTTGTTCAAAATGCTGCTCTTACTGAAGCGCTGGCCTCATTTTCGGACTACCGCTCGTTCCGAATCGTGCTCCCGCCGCAGCGCTGGCCTCCTTTCCGCGCTTCCTCTCGTTCCGAATCGTGCTCCCGCTGCAGCTCTGGCGTCATTTTTTCCAGCGCCATGCCACGGCATGTCTTTCGGTCCTGCAAAATGGCCCAAACATTTAGAGAATGGCCCCCCGACGAAAAAAACATCGGAACTGATTACGCATTCGGTGTCGATTTGTTGATTTTTTGGGGCCGCAGAAGCCCCCCCCCCACTCTGGGGCGTCACCACGCCATGCCATGTCAGGCTACGCGTCCTCATTTCCGCGCGTCCGCGCTGTTTTCTTTGTTGTTTTTCAAAATCCTGCTCTCGCTGAAGCGCTGGCCTCATTTTCGGGCTACCGCTCGTTCCGAATCGCGCTCCCTCTGCAGCGCTGGCCTCCTTTCCGCGCTTCCGTTCGTTCCGAATCGTGCTCCCGCTGTAGCTCTGGCGTCATCATTTTCAATCCCATGCCACGGCATGTCTTTCGATCCTCCCAAAGCGGCCCCAACATTTAAACATGCAACATCCAAGAAATTGCCTCCCGAAGAAACCATCGGATGTGATTCCACATTCGGAGTCGAGTTGTTGATTTTTTGGGCCGCGGAAGCCCCCCTTTGGGGCGTCGCCACGTCATGGTATGTCATGCTACGCGTTAATCGTCAAACTCATGTTATACCATTTCATGCTACGCCATGCTACGACATTCGATTGTGCGAGTTGCAAAGAGGTTTACGCCATGGTAAGGGATGGGTGGGAGGGGTGGGACGTGAGATATGACGCGAGCACGCTCAGCTTGTCCCAGCCCCCTCCGCCCCATTCCGCCCCCCCTCTTCTAGTCCCCCCTCACCTCCCCCGCGCTCCCCAATTCCCCCCCCCCCTCTTTCTTGCCATGCCCGCGCCTGCTGAGCACGGCCGACGCCGCGCTCTCGCGGGGGCTCCGTGCGACCCTCCTCTTCCTCCTCCACATACTGAACCCCCCCATCCTGCCTCCCCGCCGCCGTCCTCCCTCCTCTCTCTGTCCTGCCCACCCCTCCTCTGCCTCATCCTCCTGTTCCTCCTTCTGTTTCGGCTGCGGGGTGGAGATGGTCCCTGCGCTTTCCGCTGACCCTCTGGCCCCCTAGGCTCCGGGACGTCATCTTCCAGGACGAGCAGTGCGAGTCGTTGTGGTAGGCGAGGCAGGTGACGGAGTGAGGGGGGAGGAGGGGGACGACGATAAGGAGGCGGATGAGGAGGATGATGTGGCGAGGAGGAGGACAGGCGACGGGGCTGGTAAGGAGGATAATCCGGAGGAGAAGCAGAAAGACAAGGAGGATGAGAGGAGGAGGGGGGGAGGAGGAGAAGGACGAGAAGGACAAGGAGGGGGAAGAGGAGGGGATGTGGGTGTTAAAACATGTGTTGGCAATGGGGGGAGCATAGTGGTACAGGTGAGTTGAGCAGCCGTCGTTGCCTGCGCTGTTTGCCTCAAGCTTTCAACGCTCGGCAGTCTGACCTATCCGAGCGACTCAGGTAAAACGAACGCGCACTACTACGCTAAATGAAGAGGGCACTGCGGTCACCCACCTGCCTTCCTCCTCCCCGCGTCTTTCCTCCTCACCTCTTCCCTGCCTGCTTCTTACCTCGCTCCTTCCTGCGTGCTAGCTTGCCGCCTATCTGGTCATCCTTGGGGGGCTTCGATCTGAGAGATTGTCGCCACTTTCGAAGGTTGCTAGGGGGTTGCAGCGGAGTGACGTCTTTCGCGGATCACCATGAGACCTCGCCATCCCTAGGGGGGGCTGCGATCTGCGAACTTGTCGCCACGTTCGAAGGTTGCTGGGGGGCACACAGGAGTGACGTCTTTCGCCGATCACCAGGAGACCTCGCCATCCCTGGGGGGCTGCGATCTGCGAACTTGTCGACACTCTCGAGGGCTGCTGGGGGGCACACACAGGAGTGACGTCTTCCGCGGATCACCAGGAGACCTCGCCATTCCTTGGGGGCTGCGATCTGCGAACTTGTCGACACTCTCGAGGGCTGCTGGGGGGTACACACAGGAGTGACGTCTTTCGCGGATCACCAGGAGACCTCGCCATCCCTGGGGGGCTGCGATCTGCGAACTTGTCGACACTCTCGAGGGCTGCTGGGGGGTACACACAGGAGTGACGTCTTTCGCGGATCACCAGGAGACCTCGCCATCCCAGGGGGGCTGCGATCTGCGAACTTGTCGACACTCTCGAGGGCTGCTGGGGGGTACACACAGGAGTGACGTCTTTCGCGGATCACCAGGGGACCTCGCCATCCCTGGGGGGCTGCGATCTGCGAACTTGTCGACACTCTCGAGGGCTGCTGGGGGGTACACACAGGAGTGACGTCTTTCGCGGATCTCCAGGAGACCTCGCCATCTCCCGGGGGAGGCTGCGACCTGCGAAATCGTCGCCCTTTTCGGGGACTGCTTGGGGGTGAAGCGGAGTGACGTTTTATGCAGATCACCCGGAGACATCCCCCAGGGGTGGCGGCGATCTGCGAGACAGTCGCCAGTTTCGGGGGCTGCTGGGGGGTGCAGCAGAGTGACGTCCGATGCGGACTACTAGGAGACCTCGCCATCCCTGGGGCTGCGATCTGTGAAACTATCGCCACTTTCCAGGGTTCCTGGGGGGTACACAGGAGTGACGGATACGCGGACCAACAGGAGACCTCGCCATCCCTGGGGGGCTGCGATTTGCGAAATTGTCGCCACGTTCGAGGGTTGCTGGGGGGCACACAGGAGTGACGGCTTTCGCGGATCACCAGTCCTTGCCACCCTTGGGGGGCTGCGATCTGTGAAGTCGGTACTTTCGAGGGCTGCTGGGAGGCGTAGCGGACTGACGTTTTACGCGGATCACCCAGAGACCTCGCCATCCCTGTGGCGCTGCGATCTGCGACTCGGTCACCACTTTCGAGGGTTGTTAGGGGGTGCAGCGGAATGACGTCCTACGCGGACCACCGTGAGACTTCGCCATCCCCCGAAAGGGGGCTGCGACCTGCGAGATTGTCGCCCCTCTCGAGGGCTGCTGGGGCTGCAGCGGAGCGACGTCCTACGCGGATGCGAAACTGTATCTATTTTCGAAGATTGCTGGGGGGTGCAGCGGAGTGACGTCCTACGCGGACCACAAGGACACCTCGCCATCCGTGGTGGGCTGCGATTTGCGATATTGCTGCAATTTCTAAGGGTTGTTGGGAGGTGTAGCGGAGGGACGTCCAACGCGGATTACCAGGAGACCTCGCCATCCCGGGGGGGTGCGATTTGCGACTCGGTCACCACTTTCGAGGGCTGCTGGGGGGTGAAGCGGGGTGACGTCGGCCTCGCCATCCCTGGGGGCTGCGATCTGCGAGACAGTCGCCGCTTTCGATGGCAGCTGGTGGGTGCAGCGGAGTAACGTATTACGCGGACCACCAGGAGACTTCGCCATCCCTGGGAATCCAGTGGAGTGACTCTTTTTTCTGTTAGCGGGGGGTTGTTTCGAGTTCCGGGGCCGTCAGGAAGGAAGCAGACGCTGGCGGGCGAGCTAGGCTTCGCCCGTTTCCTGCCTGAACTGAAAGCAGGATTGCTCTTCTTTTGTTTGCGAACGCCGCGGCGTCATGGCGCAGGCACCGCTGCACCTTTCGCGTATTCCCGACACGCAACATTCTTCGGTCTCCTCATGTCACTTTCGTCGTCGTCCTCTGCCCCCTGCAACCTTCCCTCTGTTGCTTCCGCGCTGGCTGTTCGGCCCCCCGCGCGTCCTTGTCCTGCCCCTCGTTTCCTCCCCCATGTCCTCCTCAAGCGGGGGCCGTCGTTCCTCGTCCGTTTGCTGTTGTCTTGTGAATCGTGCCACAGGAGCACATCCCATGTAGCTTGCACAACATATAAGGGCGCCTGCACGGTCATTGCCCTGGCAATTTTGGGCCAATTCTTGTTCCCATTCGGTGCACATGGATGGGGTACGTCACAGGGCGATTCGCATGTTTGTGGAGCGCCGGTTGCAATGACAACATCTGGATCAGTTGCGTTTATCCCAGGTCCACAACACCATCCTGTTGAACTTTGCGTAATTGCGGACCGAGAGGCTGGGATCAAACCCGGTCCCTACAAATAGACGGACATGTGCGTATCGCCAGCCGTCGATGGTCCATTCGACTACATGAAAATTTCGTTGCGCGCCACCCATGAAGGAAGTATAGACTTCTTGAAAGACCGCCTCTCCACGGACACCAAGGAGGCTACCCAGCAAGAGGCATTTGATATGCTACAGGTGCAGCAGAATATGAACGCCATGCTGATAAGTGCCGTTGGCCGAAATTCGGTGGTGCACGAAGTCTTTACAGACAGGTCGAGAGCATGGCGGCGAGCACGGGTACGCACGGGGACATGTTGAGGGATATCTCCAAGTTGAGTGACGCCCTTAACAAAAAGAGGAGGAAAAGGAGGGGGCGGCAACAACAAGCCCATCAGCTACTTGAGGGCCCTCCAGAACCTCAAAGTTTTTACCGGCGACCGAACTACATTCATTGACGGATCGAAGCGAGAAATTGTTTAACGCTCTGGCGCAAGTCCGGCTTACGTAAAGCAGTTGAATCTTTTGACAATAAGTTGGGTACGATGGGCGGGGTCATGCCTGAGGAGGATCCGGAGGACTTGTTACGGATTTTTACTGGGTGATCAACGCATGCCGAGTACCCAAAGGCCAGCGTGGCCAGACAACAGCATGAAGACGATGAAAGGGATATCGAGTTAACTGACGAGGACATGAGAAAATTTGATGAGGAACTCCCGCACGCTCTTAGCGTACACGCGCGGCATAGTCAAAGGGTTATCGGACGGAGATGGACGTTGCCGCCCTCCGCGCGATCATGAATTGCGCGATCGATTTTTCCACGAGTTGCAAGTAGGACTGCGGTCTTCGCCCGAGGGTCTTAATGCAGACGCCGATCAGCAACGTGGCGATAAATCTGAAGATTGGGCGAGTAAGAGCAAACTTGAGGCCGATATCGGAAATATCGACGCCATGGACGTGGGAGGGGCGTCTATGACGGCTCAGGTTGCATCCCTGGGGGCTGGGATATCCAAGGATGGGTGAATGATGGCGGTAGCTGGCGACCGGGCGACGGTTGCTGGCGGGGCAAGACAGAGCGTGAGAACGACGACGTAGACGCGGTCAGTGTCAAAGGTTTCAACTGCGGCGGTTTGGGGCACCCAGCCATGGACTGTCGAAAGTCCAGGAGTTACAAGCCCGCGAGATGGTGGCGCCAGGTAGCCGCATAGCGCTTGACCGCGAAGACAGCGAAAGGTTGCGCAGTTACGTTGAACGCGAAGCCGACGGCTGAACAGCGGCAGTCCACGGTAGAAGCGGCACTTTACAGTTCGCGGTTCTAGTTTTTAATGGCGACGGGGTTGACGCCGCCGATCTCCGCGAATCTCCCGAGGCGCAGGAGTGAGAGGCTCGTGCGAGGCTGGGCACCCTCGGGTCGACCCGTTCCATCCCGCGGCCCACCGCCCACAAGACCACGGGGCGCGCGCGGGGCGCGCGCGATCAACGACGGCGATGGGAGTAAAAGCGGGGGCAGTGAATTTCGCGACTTCGGGGGCGCGCTCATTGCTTGGGGGGCCGAGTAACCGGAGAGAGTTCGCTGCAGTGCGCGACCGAGTATTGACGAGTGGAAAGCCGCAGCTGCCTCAGCCGGCTTCCCCGCTGCGTCGGAGGAGAGACCGGGGGGCGCAGCCGCCAGGAAGAGCCGCGGAAGCCAGGTGATTGATTGCCACTGATATCCATGAGCTACATTAGGTTTGAAGGGTAAAGGGGGGGCGACAAGACGGAATGGTCATCCGATTATGGCGGCGAGATGCAGGGGTCCGCGCGGAGTCGAGCAGCATTGAGAAAGTGGGCGTGCCTCCGCGCGCCGGGCGCGGCCGGCGACGTGATCGGCATTGCTGGGCGCGAGAAGAGATGCGCAGACGCGATGGAGAATCGGCTATGACTGCGTTCAAAGATGCCATTATAGCCTCGAGCTTCTCAGGCGCGGGCGCGGAGGTCAGCCCTGTTTTGTAGGTCGGCGGCGATGTTGAACCAGCTGCTCGCGCCGTGCAAGGCCGAGCCGGAACATTGCAGAGTGCGCTCGGCGCCCATTGCAATCTGGACTTTCGCCAAAATCTCGCCGTCGTGGCCCGGTAGGCAGCG